CCCCAAAACCCCAAAACCCCTTTGGAGTTGATTGATAGTTATTTAAGTTTTAAATAAAAATAGACTCTTAAGATTAAATATTAGATGTGTACCTATGAATATTTGTAATGGCTCGAGTGTTTATATTTATAGATCATAAACTAGATTATATAATACTTAGTTATGTTAGTAGTATGCTTGAAACTCAGAAAATGCGGCAGTTATTGCTTTTTTCATATACATTTTTAATACTCTTCTTGCTTTGATTATTATTGGGATTTTGAATCTATTTGCTTGCACTGACATTTCTTAAAGACTCCTGGTTATTTTGATCTCCTACGTTGAATTTACTGAAAAACTCGCTGTCATTCCTATTATGATTCTAGTTATCGAAGTTGCTTGCGATTCCAGAATTGTTTCTATTAATCTCAAAGGACTAGTTTTAAACTAGACTCACTTTTTGCTATTGATTTTATTAATTCTAGTAGCTTATTCTGGACTAGTAAGCAGTACTATCTTTAGAGTAGTCCTATCCACTTTAATTTTTATATCTGTGACCTCTAATGTTGCCACTTGGTTTGCATATTTTGCCAAAACATGCTGACATACTTTGTCTCTTGTTCATCGGCTTTCTATTTTACTTATTACCACTTGATTCAACACTGCCTGAATATTTCTTAATAGACTTTTTGTTTTTTTATTTAAAGTCGTCTGTTTGTGAGTCTTCAGTGCAAGTCAGCTATATATAGTTCTACTATCCTTCTTCATTATCAAAACCTTTTTAAATGGGCTATTCTAATGTGTTGCTTTACTTCCCTTACAACTTTAGGAAGAAAATCATTTTAAAAACAGACTCCTCTTATACAAAAACATCAGTGTTTAAATTATTCTCAAACACATTGCCAATCAAATACGAGTAAAGAAGTCTATTTAAGGGAGATGCATAGTAAAGTCCACAGTTTTTATTTGATTTAATTTTGTTGTATCCTAGGTGAAGTTTGGTATGACTCATTTAAGGTCTCAAATTCCTCTTAATGATAGTCATCTTACTGGGACTGCGACTAATATTAATTGATGATTTGTTCTTTGAGTTGTTCAAATCGAGAACTGAATGGTCTTCCAACCCCTCATCTTGAAGCACATTGATTCCATCACAAAAATTATCCTCAAGAGTATTTTACTCAATCTTGAGGTCATTCTATTTGTAATTCTTTATTTCAATTCCATGCATCTGATTCATTGAAATGAGGCATTCACTAATTTTGCTGATATTGTTGATTGTTTACTTTGTAACCAGCTTGCTAGGAGATTGCGACATAAGTAATTGAGACTCCCCTCCCTCAGTCTTAAAGTTCTCAGTCAATCTAACCTACGCTTTTAAACAGCAGTTACAGATTGCGGTTTCAGTATCAGTTTTTATCTGATTTATATATACCCCTGAATATTTATTTTCCTTAAAGTTGCATCTTTTAATTGAAAAGCCAGCGAGAACATTATTTATTTCAATTCCATTGCGTTTATTGTCTAATACCTCGCAATCCATTATTTTAATCATTTGATCCTACTTCTATAATCGCTCTGGCGAGGGGTTTGTTGAATGATAATTGTTTGTTAAATTACTCTCCCTATAATCGAATCTGCCATATTGAAATCCCTACAGATTCTCAAACTTAACTGCTGTTTGACCCTAATTAAGTGAAAATTTAGAATCTTTCATAAAGAAGCTGAGCTTTTGGACCTCTTACTCATTGCCTACTACAGTTAAAGCAATGCCTTGACACTTTCTAAAAGTGCTACCCTGAATATCAATGATTTTAGGATCTTTTGATTGTTACTTCTCATTGTATTAAAGCATGACTGCTGATTTATAGCAATCTGAAAGAGTGCTTTTCTTGAAAATAGACTATGAGAGCTTAATTAGCTTAAGATCTATTCCTATAATACTTTCATGCTTCTGCTTTTTAAAAGTACAGCTGAAGGTGCTAATAGATATATTGCCTTCATTGCATACAATGGCATGATGATATCCCAAGAAAATGCAGTTCACAAATTAGATGTCGTAGTTTACATGCTTGCTGAAGTTCTGAACTTTAACTGCTATCATGCATTTTTTAGAAAGAAAACTTGGGGATACGTCAGCCATTTCCTCATGCCTACCATCTTATATAAATGCGCAATCCTAGAATATTATGGTTTTAGTTCTGGGAGTAACTACTTCTGAATCATCTTTATGCTCTGACTCTTCATCTTAAATAATATTTATCAATACAGTCTCAAGAGAATTGCTATGGTCTTTGGGTGTATCATAATCATTAACAACCATTGGAGAAGCTAATTCAAATTATACTATTTTGATGGTCAACTGATCGGATTGTTAATTCTTAAAGACGAGAGAGTTATTTTAGCCTAGGAATACTTATGAGCCATTCACACCATTAATCTCCTATAGCTAAGAATCTTAAATACTTAATGGACCCTCCTTATCTATTATAATAAAACCTGATGGCAAACTGTACTCTTTAAAGTCTTAATATTAGGAATACTCAAGTTCTTAGCGGACTCTTCTGCCATTAGCTTACGCTTCAATTAATTGCATTTAGCGCTTTTTCTTACCAACTGCTTACATCATTGAGGCTTGAGTGTTGTAAAATTTAGAAACATTTTAGTAAACTTGATTATCACCTCCTTAGGTTACTGTTAATCTATTCAAATTCATTGTTGGCTCATCAGCTGGATTCTGATTGTTAAGAGTTTCGAGATAGATACTTGATTTATGAACACTATTTAGCTGAGACATCTGTAAATTCTTTTTAATAGTTGAACCTAGAGTGTATTTAGGGGTCTACTGAAGTAATGAGAACATTCTAGTCTCACCACAATCTTCAAAGATATTCTGATTATACTCAATATCCTGCTGATAGGCAATTGAAAAGGGTTAACTTTTAGTCATTTGGCCTATAAAATCCTCGCCTTCTAGATGGAAGTCTTTTGGCTCCCAGGACAAATATGAGCAAGCTTGTTCTAGATCATCTACAGGTCTTTATCTCTAACTAATTATAATTAATCCACTTTCCTCATCATTTAACTTCAAAACATCAGCTCCATCCTAACTGCCAAAGTTCTAGGCTGTAAAGTCCATATTTTTCTTGACAGGCATAAGTGCCTTGTTTCTGATTCTTAATTGATGACTATTATCACTCATTCTCACTTTATAGGGAACGACTACTTTATTAGGCTAGTTCTCATTATCAGATCCTTCAGTTATCAGATTGTTTGAAGGCATTTTCATGATTGACTGATACATGAGTGGCATCGGTGCTCTTCTTTCCAGCCTATTTGAATTTTTCGTGTTGATATTCTTAGTCGTAATATCTCCCCGCTCTGACATTATCAAGCTGTCGGCATCATGATATGTATCATTCATTACATTTTCATCTTCCACCACTAATATTGCTCCAACTACTCTGTGAGATAGGTTAGGCATGTCAGCTTATTTGGTTATCTGATTTTCAATTACCGGTAGTGGCTAGGGAGTCTCAAATTTTCTTTTGCCATTCATTTATTCTGAAGTGGGAGATTTATACACAATCGAATTTATTTTTTATTTAGAAAAGCTCTGTTCATTTGAGATCTTTGATCTGTTACTCTTGTAAGATTTAAGCTTTGGTGCGTTTAATTCTATTGCTATTTCACTCATGTCATGTTTATTTGACTCGTCTAGCTTATTATCTACCTCTTCTTGGCATGGAGGCGATTGACTTTAATCTGGTCGTTTTGGATTATCAGAGTATTGTCTTGATATCAATATTTTTCTATCTCTAATTGCCAGAGTAGAATTATTTGGTGTCTGAGAAATGTCTTCTTGATCTAGTGACTGACCAACAGAATTCTAGAAATCTTCTAATGCATCAGACTTAGCTTTGTTCAATTTCTTAAGTTGACTCCCATGCCTGACACTTGGAGATTTCTAAAGGAGAGTCTTGTCCAATTCACAGTCATCGATCTCGCATTCGTTGTCGCTCTCAGATATACTTTGATTTTAATTCTTTTACTAAAGCTGAGCAACTTGCATTAGTCTCTTCTTATTGACATTTTCATTCTCCACAGTAATGTTTGAACTTGATTTGTACTTGCTGTCCTCCTTGCTGCTGCTATTACTTAGATTTTCCTAAAAAAGTGAGGCCAATTGAGGTTGTTGTTTGTTTTTGCTACTCATTTTGTTAAATTATTTGATTTATTAGTAATTTATTCTTAATTTCAAATATATCTCGGATTTACGGGGTTTTGGGGTTTTGGGGTTTTGGGGTTTTGGGG